TTAATTATCTTGGAGGTCTTTTCTAACCGTGTTGTTTCTATGATTCTGTGGCATTATATGCAGTAGAAAATACTGATATGGCAGCAAAGCTCTGGTGTGGGATTCATGACCCAATCTTATAGGTCTTAATAGTTGTAGGAATTATGGGCATTTTCCCTGTTCCATATATTAAATAATATTTTCTTAATAAAAAATTACATGTGCCCAATTTCTTCACAAATTATCTTTAGAGTAAATTTTTGTAGCTTGGTTCAAAGAAAATGTGTAACAGGTATTTTTTTATGTGTTGTTTTCCTTTGAACATGTGGAATAAGTTTTGCATAAGATTTTCACCAACATTTAAGTACTGATATAGTTGTTCCATGGGATGTGCATACTATTGTCAGTATCATTTCATGGCTGCAAGGAAAACACTGTTACTTGGAATTTTCTCCAAAGTGAGTCACAGATCTTCATATCATAGAACCATCTGGGTTGGAGGAGACCTCTAAGATCATCATGTCCAGTCACTGCTGGAAACCCTAAACCTAAACTTTCTGTTCCAGTTCCATATCCTATAGTAGTCAACCTAATTTTCCATGTTTGAAGTCATGTTTTAATTTATATTTTGAAAACCATAATAACCACTTTAGAGGCCAGGAAAAGCAGAAAATAATTTATAATTTTATCTCTATAATGAATCATTCTGTTTCTGTTTCAGGTTTGAATTATTAGAGGTTTTGAGTTTTGATTCTGTGAGACGACGAATGAGTGTCATTGTTAAATCTTCAGCAGGTAGGACAGTCACGTTCTGGTTCTTCGTAGATGTTTTTGTTTCACTTCAATTTGTTGCAGGTGTATCAAAGAGTTTAGCATTAGTAACAGTCTGTGTGCCCTTCCCTATAAAACCAGGCGACCAGGTACTATCCTGAAAGTGCTATAAAAATATTGGCAGTAAACCTTTTGAAGTCTTATTAATTTGGATGTAATTTTGGCTATATTGAACTCCATATCCTGTCTCTTTCAGGTGATATATTTCTCTTTTGCAAGGGAGCAGATTCCTCCATATTTCCTAGGGTAAAAGAAGGCAAAATCGAGCAGGTTCGATCGCGAGTGGAACGCAATGCCGTGGTGAGTCCATTTCATTGGTCTGTTCACATGATGTCAGTGGGAAAAAGAAATGAAAAGTTCTGCCCTCCTGCCTTATCTGCAGCAGGTTTGTCTTCCCAGGCACCAGGGTTTCTCTGTGCCAAGGGTCACTCAGGCTGTGTGGGTGGCAGTCTATGTTACACCCTGGTTTGCACCTGTCATAGAAACAGAAAATCATCATGGTTGGAAGAGACCTCTAAGATCATTGAGTCCAACTGTCCTCCCAGCACTACCACTGTAACCCCCAAACCCTAAACCATATTACCTAGTGCCAGATCCAGATGCTCCTTCAGCACCTCCAGGGATGGTGACTCCACCAACTCCCTTTCTTACTCATCACGCAGCCCAGAAGTCTGACACAGCCTGAAACATCCACAGCTAAATTCTGCTTTCACTTGACTGAAATGGTACGGTTGGATTTTCACTTTCAGAGCTCTCTGGGATGTCTTGTCCCTGTCCATGCATCTGCTGCAACACAGCATCAAAATCGTTCTCTGCAGAGCTACTATTTATATTACTCTTCTTGATTCTGACTTATCCTGCCTAATTATACACATAGGGATAGAAAACATGGCTCTCCTTTCCCTGGTGAACTCATACATCCAGTTTGGGTCTCTGAGCTGTCTCTTCTGGAGGACTGAGATTTGTCCCTCAGGTTGTAACTTCTTCCACAGCATCACAGAATCAAATTGAACCATGTCCTAATCTATACCATACTATACCAGTTTAGACTATGTTCTCTGCATTATAGAAGTGACTATGGGGACTCTAGGTGTTAATAGGAATATTTCTCATCAGCAAAGAAGTCTGAGAGGAGTTTTGTAGGATGCATTTTGTTTCTTTTGATTCCATCTTTTAGGAGGGACTGCGAACTTTGTGCGTTGCATACAAAAAACTCTCAGCAGAAGAATATAGCCATGCACAGAAGCTGCTTCAGAATGCAAAGTTGGCTCTCCAGGACCGGGAAAAGAAGTTGGCAGAAGTGTATGAGAAGATAGAAAGAGATTTTATCTTACTTGGTGCTACAGCTGTTGAAGATCGGTCAGTACCTTCCTTAGTTCCTTATGCTTTTGGTGATGCTACCAAAGTAATTGAAGCCCTTTAGCTTACTAAAGTTACACATGGTAACTTGATCATTTAGTAAGCCAGTTACAATAGTTAAGTGTACAAAAATCAGTGTGTTCAAGCCATTTCCAGGCAGTTCATGTCAGACTTTATTGATCAAGTTGTAGCGAAATGTTTTGGAGGAAAGAACAGCAAACTGAGTATTGATGAAATGAAGGAAGAATCTTTAGGTCTTCAGAAAGGTTCCAAAACATGTACTAGTTCCCTTAACATTTTTAGAGTCACAAATTCTTAGCTCTGATAACTTCTATTGAAATTTTTAGTTGCTTATGTAAACCTTTCAACCAGGACCTCTGAACTGCTCATTTCCAAGCAATCCTTGAGTACTACACTGAGTATGTTGTCAATTGACTTCACAGACTACAAGAAAAAGCTGCTGACACTATTGAAGCACTCCAGAAAGCAGGAATTAAAGTCTGGGTTCTGACAGGAGACAAAATGGAAACTGCTGCAGCTACTTGCTATGCTTGTAAACTCTTCCGGAGAAACACCCAAATCCTGGAGCTAACCACCAAGAAAATTGAGGAGCAGAGTTTACACGATGTGCTCTTTGACCTAAGCAAAACTGTCCTCAGACACAATGGCAGCTTAACCAGGGATACTTTCTCAGGGTAAGGAAAAACTTGGATTTTTCAAGCTAGGAATGGTTTCTTGTGCATTTCATAAACAGTTAAATGATGATTGATTACCTCAAGATCAGCAACATATTATGGTTCAGTTTCTGTTACTACAGTGTGTAGTATTGTATGGCAGTTAAGGCTAAGTTTGTCCTACATAAGTTAAATTTTCACTCATGGTTCTTTATCTCATTCCTGGTACTGCTTGAACTGTTAAAAGGAAAATTAACACCTGATACTGCAATTATTTATTTCTCCACTGCAAAACTGTTTATTCATGGGAAAAAAAATGATTGGAAAGCAAAATACTGGGTCTTACTTTTAAAAAGGAAGCTGATGGAATCCTCAGCACAGGAATGACATGGACCTGTTGGAATGAGTCCAGAGAGGGCACCAAGTTGATCAGAGGGATGGAGAAAAGGCTGAGAGGATAGGGATTTTTCAGCCTGGAAGAGAGAAGACTTTGGGGTGACCCAATTGTGACCTTCCAATACCTGAGGGGAGCCTAGAAGAAAGATGAAGAGGGACTATTTTAGGAGGGACAGAAAGGGCTAAGGTCACTACAAATTACCTTTGCCCTTCTTATTTCTGTCTTGTGGCAGAGACACAGTGAAGTCTTGAATTCAAACAGGCCTAAGTGACTGTCTAAATTATGATAGCTTATCTCTAAATCAGCACAGATTTGAGCAATGTGGTCTTGTGAAAGGTGTGCCTGCCCATGGCAGGGGGTTGGAAGTAGATGATCTTTAAGGTCTCTTCCAACCCAAAGCATTCTGTGATTCTATGAGATGATATATTTGTGGAATCAGAGTTAGTATGTGATGTGACTTTGCTGATAAGACCAAAGCCACAGAGAGCAGCAATATATGTCTCTCTTTCTGGGGAAGATGATGCTACATTTACACACAGGTGACAGGCACAAGTGTAGGACCAAATCTTCTGCTCTACAGAAAACTATTATAGGTGCCCTAAATTGTAAAGGGAATGACCATAAGCTGAGCCAGGGCAGAGTCAGACTGGATGTGAGGAGAAATGTTTTCCTTGTGAGGGTGTTCAGGCACTGGAATATTGCCCAGGGAGGTGGTGGAATCACCATCCCTGGAAGTGTTGAAGAGGTGTCTGGATCTGACACTGGAGGATCTGGTTTAGGGGTTCCAGCAGTGACAGGTTAATGGTTGGACTGGATGATCTTAGAGATCTCCAACCTTGATGATTCTATGATTCAAAGCACAGTTTACTTCTTTAAGTGTAGACCCTTGGGCAAAACCCAGGAAGTTTTATTTTCCTCATCAGAGTAGATGTCAGAGTCCCAAAGACCTTTAACTTTTTTTCTCTGTGTTATGGAATGTGCCACAAAATTCACTTCATTCCTTCAACTCAGTTTACCTCTCTGCAGTTCTTGGAGTCCTTTCAAACCCAACTGATACACTCTCATACTCACTGGTGCAGTCACTGAGGTGTCAGTGTTCTGTATTTATGTTGAATATTTTCAGCATAATCTAGGATTTTCAACTGCCATAATTATCGTTCTTACGCAAGGAATTTCCTGTAGAAATGCTCATTTTTTTCATCATGCTCATTTTTTTCATCAGTTCATTTTCACATGAGAAATCTTGGCTGAGAATTTTGCAGGGACTCTCAGTTTATATTTTCTCCCCGAACAGACTTTCAACTGATATGCAAGATTATGGTTTAATTATTGATGGAGCAGCACTGTCATTAATAATGAAACCAAGGCAAGATGGGAGCTCTGGTAACTACAGAGAGCTCTTCCTTGAGATCTGCAGGAACTGCAGTGCAGTGTTATGCTGTCGAATGGCACCTCTGCAAAAAGCACAGGTTTGTATGTCGTGTCAGCTCATAATTGCCTCTTAGCTGTGCACAAGTGTAAATATTGAAAGTTCAGGCTCTGTATGACTTACCCTAATAACTTCGGATGTTGCCATTGGGTTTTTTGTGTCTCCTAAAATGGAAAAAGCCAAAAAAAAGAGAAGGAGACAGGGAGGATTTCTATTGGCAAGCAATTTAGATAATGGTATGCTAAAAGGGCACCCAGCTGTGCACCTGAATTTGATTTATGTAC